ATGTATTACCTAAAACCTTTATGGATATGGTGGAAGAGTTAGATATGGTAGACAGCTGGAGATGTCTTAACCCTGAAGCAAGAAATTATACATATTATTCGAATCCGCATAAATCATGGTCAAGGTTGGATATGATTTGGGTAACTAAGATGTTAATAATGGAGATAGAAGAAATAGATATTTTACCAAATAATTGGGCTGACCACAACCCGATAATGATGAAGTGGAGAGGTCAGCAGAGAAAGAAGAATAGATGGACTATGAACACACAGATACTTCAAGAAAAAGAGTATAAGAATTACATAGAAAAGGAGCTAGAATGGTTTTATAAGGAAAACACAAAGCAACACACTTCCCTACAAAACCTATGGGATACAACCAAAGCATATGTAAGAGGCCTCACGATATCATATAATGTAAAACGGAGAAAAGAGAGAGAGAAAGAATATAATAAATTATTAGAAGAAATTCAAAATTGGGAATGTAAATTGCAAAGAAACCCAGGGGATGAAAAAAATAAGGTTAAATTGGTTAACAGCAAAACATAACCTAAACATATTAGAGCAGGGGAAATATGCAACAGCATTGAAATATATAAGACAAAATTATTTTGAAAACGCAAACAAACCAGGGAGATGGCTGGCGTATAGGTTGAGGAAGGAAAGAGAAAAAAGAACAATTCAGAAATTACGAGATGATGAGGGAAGGATTCAATGGGCCCTAGAGGGAAAAAAGGACATAACAGTCCAATATTATCAAAAACTGTACGAAAAGGATATAGTAACAGAGGAGGAAATTGAATATTATTTAAAAGGGGAGGGATTGCAAATACTAACAGAGGAAGAAAGAGAATTATTAGATAAGGAGATTACGATGGGGGAGCTAAAAGAGGCACTGAAGAGGCAAAAAAATAACAAAACCCCGGGGACAGACGGTTTACCAATAGAATTCTATAAGACATTTGGAGATCCATTAAATGGAATACTGTTAGAAATATATAATGAGGCCCTAATGGAGGCAAAACTACCCAACACATGGAAAGAAGCATATATTTCCTTAATACCTAAAGAGGGGACAGATACCACACTAATAAAAAATTATAGGCCGATTTCTTTGTTGAATACCGATTATAAAGTTTTCATGAGCATAATTGCCAATAGGATGAAAATAATATTACAAAATAAAATACACCAGGATCAAAATGGTTTTCTGCCTACAAGGCAGATAAAAAACAACTTAAGAATAGCATTGGATGTTTTAGAATATTATGAGGTGCATCCAGAGAGACAGGTAGCATTGATCTTTCTGGATGCACAAAAAGCGTTTGACCAAGTTAACTGGCAATTTATGAAGCAACAAATCAAAAGTATGAATTTTGGAGAAAGATTTACTAACATGATAACATCGATATATCAGAATCAGAAAGCATGTGTCTTGGTGAATGGTGACCCAACAAAATTTTTTGGAATAAATAAGGGAGTAAGGCAGGGATGTCCACTTTCCCCTTTACTATTTATTTTAACATTGGAAAATTTATTAATCAGAATTAGAGCAAATAAAGAAATTCAAGGATTAAAGATCAAGAGAGAGGATTACAAGGTCCAAGCATTTGCAGACGACCTTGTCTTTTTCGTAGAAAACCCATTAGAAACAACCCCAAAATTAATAAAAGAGATTGAAAAATTTGGAAAGGTAGCAGGTTTAAAAATTAATAAAGAAAAGACAAAAATGATAACAAAAAACATGATAACAAAACAAGTAGAGAAATTAGTAAAAGAATCCGGTCTGCAGGCAGTTAAAAAAGTTAAATACCTAGGGATAAATTTGACGGCCAAAACGACAACAATAAAAGAAGACAATTATGATACTTTAGTCCAGAAAATAAAGGAAGATTTAGAAAAATGGGGGAAACTAAAATTGTCTTTATTGGGGAAAATAGCAGCAATAAAATCAAACATTCTGCCAAAACTCCTTTATTTATTCCAAACAATTCCAATAAAATTAGATAAGAAATTCTTTGATAATTTGGATAAAATAACTAAAAAATTCGTGTGGGAAGGGAAGAAATCAAGAATAAAATTGAATATACTACAAGATGATAAAAGTAGAGGTGGATTTGGACTCCCGGCATGGGATAAATATTACAAGGCTGCCAGTTTATTATGGATTAAAGATTGGATAACCTTAGATAATCAAAGATTGCTAAATTTAGAAGGGCATGATTTAATGAAGGGATGGCATGCCTTTATATGGAGTTCAGGAAATAAAATATATAAACATTTTAATAACCATACAATTAGGAGATCTTTAATTAACACATGGCTACAAATTAAACAAAAACACTACATGAAAATTCCCGGCTGGCTATCGACTATAGAAGCAATAACTCACCCCAACATATTATCAAAACAAAAGATTCTAAGATACAGAGAAATAGTAGATGTTCAGGGGAAATTGAAAACTAGGGAAGAGCTCAAAGAACAAGGAATAGGAATAGACTGGTGGCCCTACTCGCAAATAAAAGTAAGATACAGAAAAGACCAAGAGGAAGAAGGAATAGATTTAAAACAAAATCGATTAGACAAACTATTAGAATCAAAAGAAGGGAAATTAATTTCAAAAATCTACAAATATTTACTCGAATTCGATTTGGCAGAAGAGTTGGTCAAAGGGCAGATGATAGCCTGGGCGAGGAACATAGGGCATAATATACAATTAGAAGATTGGGAAAGAGCATGGGAAGATAACTATAGAATGGCAAAATCGGTATCATACAAAGAAAATCATTATAAAATGTGGTACCGATGGTATCTGCCACCCGCAAGGTTAGCAAAAATGTATCCAAATGTGAACCCGGCTTGCTGGAAATGTAAAAAAGCGCAGGGAACTTTTTACCATGCTTGGTGGCTTTGCCCAAAAATAAAAAAATATTGGAACAAAATAAAAACATGGATATTAGAGATAACAAATCATGAAATTGAATTAACACCTGAAGTCTTTTTACTCGGCATGATCAATAAGAATATTAGGAAGGACATAAAATACCTAATACTCCACATTATAACAGCGGCAAGATTAGCATTGGCACAACTCTGGAAAATAGACCGTTTGCCAACTGATCAGGAAGTAATACAGAAAATCTATGTATGCGCAGAGATGGATAAATTAACCCTAAAATTACAGGATAAGGAAGATTCAAAATATTTTAAAATATGGAATAGCTGGTACCAGTGGATAAGTCAGAGAGAGGGAATGCTTAGAGATGAAAGTTAGGAGAAATTAATGTAAATAAACAACTGCACTGTCAGAGAGATATAGAAGGAAATAAGTCACTGTGTGTATATATATATATGTATATATAACATTAGAAAGTAGTTGATAGATGAAGTTGAGCACTATATATGTATAGTATATGTACTTGTAATTTGTGTGTTTGATTAAGAAAAACTTGTTCAGTTTTTCTTATAATTGTTTTAATTGTCCTTTTTTTAAATACGAATAAAGTTTGTTTTTTTAAAAATATAAATAAATAAATCAAATTATAAATTTACCCTAGCTAGGCTGATACATTGCCCACAAATGTTATTGGTGGAAACTACACAAATTTTCCTTTAATTTCTTTTCCTTGTCACTCTAATGCCATAGATCAAGGGTGTCCAACCTTTCTGGTTTTGTGGACCAGCAAGGTGGGGGGGGGGGAGGGGATGGTTCTGTGTGCACAGCTCCATTTATGCAAGTGGCAGGTGCACATGCACACTGCTGGCACAAATGGAGCTTCCTGTGTCTGCTGCTCGGCAAATGGAGCTGCATCCTTGTGTGGACCAGTTCCGAACAGGCCATGGCCCAGGGGCTGGGGATTCCTGCCATAGAGAATGTGTGATAAATTCTACAGGAGTGTTTCTTAAAATGTCATCCTAGGACCCCTTGAGATCTCCCAAGACCCTCTCATGTGTCCTTTAAATAATGTTTATTTTTGCAGAAATTTAAAACTTACTAGTTTTTTATGAAAAAATATTTTTATTCATGCTACTATCTGATTGGTTTAATATTTTTATTTTTACATGATTCAATAAATGAATTTTCTATGAATATATCAATTTTAATGGGGTAAATATTGCTAAACATAACCGAAATGAAAGCTCATTTAGGGTCCTCCATATTTTTTTAAAATAGGAAAGGGTCCTGAGAGAGAGAGAAAAAAAAAAATAAGAAACACTGTTTTACCATACACTATTACCATGGATTAGATGTTGTTGGAGCTTTTGGATAAGAATGTTATAATTCTCCAAAAGTGCATCAACAGACTCAGCTAGAATCAAGGTAAATTGTAGGTAATCTAAAGCCAGTAGTTTGGTTTCAATTTGGTTTAAATATGGAGTCAGTTTTGCTCATTGGCACGTTCTTCCTGATGGAATTAAAAAGGGTTTGTAGCACTCAATATGTGCTTCTTGAGTGAAAACATTTAAATAAAGCAAAATTGGGAAATGATCATTATCAAATTTTATTAAAACACAAGTTTTGTAAACTGCAGCTCAAAATAATTTGCATGCTAATTTAGGAGTGCCAGATCTGGCCTGCCAACCTCCAGATGATCAACATTGGAGCTTTTATCATTTTATTGTTATTTCCCAGAAACAAAGAAGATCTTAGCAGACCAGATATGATAGCTTTAGTTAACTATCTTGTCTAGCCATAACTGCTTCATTGCTTTACTATTGACCAATTCCTGTCTTTGCAATGCTGTGACAGAAAAGTGATAGTAAGGACTTATTTATCTAAAAACTAATTTTCTATCTAAGAAATCCAAGAGCAATGTTATCCATAGCAAACATTGTCAATGAAAGGTCAACTTCTCTGCTGTTCTGCCTTCTTAGCATAGACTTAGTAGTGATAGAAATAGTAGCCATAGAAATTCTACCCTTAGGTTCCTCCATCCTCTTGTATTCTTCCTATTTCATAGAAAATGGAATGTAAGTGAAACCCTTACTGAAGTTTTCAACTTAAACTATACTAAAATTTAGTGCTACTAATTTCTTAAAAGCTTCCTTTACATCCTTGTTCCGGAGGCTGTATACAATGGGATTGAGCATGGGCGTCACAACAGTGTATATAACAGATAACCCCTTGTGAAATTCTGGAGTTTGACCTCTTTTTGGAATTACATACAAAATAATGATAGTCCCATAATACAAACTCACCACTGTAATGTGGGAGACACATGTTGAAAAGGCTTTCTGTCTCCCAACAGAGGAAGCTATACTGAAGACAGCTGAGATAATGTACACATAGGAAATGATGATGAAGAGAAAGGGACTTAGTGTTACAATGACAGAAGAGAGAAAAACAGTCATTTCTGTCAACTTGCTTTTCTTGCAGGACAGTTTTATCAGCTCTTCCATGTCACAAACAAATTGGTCCATTTCATTGGGGCCACAAAAGTATAACCTGGAAACACCCCCAACAGAGACAGCTGAGAGACAAAAGCCTGAGAACCAGGAGAGAGTTGCTAGCTGAAGGCAAAGCTTGAAGTTCATGATGATGTTGTAGAAGAGTGGTTTACATATTGCTAAATAGCGATCAAATGCCATGATTGCAAGAAGAAAGCATTCTGTGGTGCCCAAGCTGACATAAAGAAATAATTGGGCAATACATTCACTAAAGGAAATAGTTCTGTTTTCTGCTGCACAGTTGGCCAACATCTTTGGAGTAATGACAGAACTATAAAATGCCTCCAAGAAGGAAAGGTTAGCTAGGAAGAAATACATAGGAGTGTGAAGGCGCTGATCAATCACAACTAGAATCACTATAAGAACATTACCAATTATAGTTACAATATACATGGCCAAAAACAACAGAAAGAGTAAAATTTGAAGTTGATGTAAATTTTGGAAGCCCAAAAGAATGAAACTGGTGATGGATGTATGATTGTTCCATTGCATATTTTCCACCGTCACTGACAAAAAAAAAAAGAAAGAAAGAAAAGAAAAGAAAAGAACATTACATATTTCAAAAATTAAATGTAAAAAAATGAATGAGTCTCAGTAAATGCTTCTCCTTTGCGGGGAAGCAATTACATTGAGAACCAGTTTGGTATAGTGGTTAAGACATCAGGTTGGAAACCAGGAAAGCTGGTCCTGCTTTAGACAAAAACCTGCGTGACCTTGGGCCAATCATTCTCTCAGCCTTTGAAAGGAGGCAGTGGAAAACCACTTCCAAAACTCTTGCCCTGAAAATTGAAGGGACTTCTTTGAGGCAGTTGCCAGGATCAAAATTGATCCAAAGACCCAAACAAGCAAACAGATGGTGCCTCCCATAAAAGGTATTATGCAAAAAATGGTTCAACATTTTAAATAACCAAATACATCAATAATTTTCATCCAATAATAAACTAAAATGTATTAGTTACAACTACAGCATTTTCTGAAATTCGTTATCTGACTTTTGGTTCCAGGATATAGGCCTGGGTTTTTATATTTATATACATAATCATTCTTTATATTTTTAACCATTGGTTTTTTAATAAAGGATTACAGGTGTTGGGGATCAAGGGGAATGTGATGAAGATTGCTGCAATGCATGTTCCTTACATACCTGTGTATAACATTACACTGCAAGTATTAGAGGATAGTTTGCTTTTTAATGTCATCATTTTGAAGTCATCATGGTTAGAAATGGATATCTAGGCACAGGATATTCCAACTGTCTGTTCAAAAGTTATTATAAATAACTGGTAGCCACCTCAACAATACTTTTCAGTTGTCCATAAAAATATTGTAGTTTTAGACTCATTTAAGAAACATTATAATGCCGATTGTAATTTAAGGCTTTCAGATGTTGCTGATGCATTTGGATCACATTGTGAAATCAAAAGATGTTTTCAATGAATGTACAATCAATCTGCATTTTTAGGAAACCCCAATTACTCCTGTGATAATTAAAATGGTTTAAAAACTTGATTGGCAATCAGCTGACTTTAAGTATTAAGAACCCAATTAATCCATTAGTCTTTGAAAACAGACATGCTCTTTTCAAAGTGAGCTTATCCCATAGCTTAAGTATCAGTGAAATAGATCAGAACTGTATTTATATCTCAACTCTTTCTAATACCATATTGCAGCCTTTACTGCTGGAAATACTGTGGATGTGGATAATGTAAATGAGAATCTGACAGTTACTCACAAGATTTCCTGTCCTGGAGGATTCCTATGACAATATTCTTTTCATCTTTTATGCAGTTGGACAAAGTTGGTTTTTGAATAAAGTTTTATGCTTTTGTTTTTAAGGACTTTACAAAACAACCTTCTCCTAATTTCTCAACGAACGCTTTAGCTTTCATTTATTTCCTTTGATTCTCATTTGTACTGTCAAAATTCCCATGAGGAAAAAATAAATTAAGTCACTTGGTAACCATTATGTTCAACATAAATAATTATAGGCAATTGTCACAATTTCCTAACCTTTAAATCACTAATTAGAATGTTCAAAAAATAGGTTCTAAGCACAAGTTACAATTGCGTAGTCAAATAGAAACTCTGACTATACCTCAACAAGACAAAACAAACAAACCACACTTTTTTGTCAGTCTTTGCTACTCTGCATTTATTTATTCATCATATATATTGAACTGTTTTCAGGATTAATTTGATATGTGTATAAATTAAAAAAATAAATAACATAGAAGATTGCAGTATAGGAAAAGCATTGACCATAAAAATTAAACATGTTGTTTTTGACTTTTAAATCTCTTCATGTCATGCAGCCTAGTTATTTTAGGTACTGCCTTTCCCTCATTACAGCTGTCCATCCCATCAAATCTAACAGGAGAAACAGATTGTGGATTCTAACTTAATATCTATTTTGGCATCCACCTTCTGTACCATTCTCTCCCATCCCTAACATGAGGTCAGATCTATTCATTCATTCATTCATTCATTCATTCATTCATTCATTCATTCATTTTTCATGTCTCTGGACTATGCATCTCCTTCAAGGAGGGGCTCTAGACTTTTTCATAAGTTCATCAAGACTGAGTTAAGTCTTCAAACCTGGGGGTCTCATCAGTTGACTGCTGAGATCTTGAGCTGATTCTATTATGGTTGTTAACAACTAATCTCTTGCATGCCTTACAATTTTTTAAAAAAACTTTTAAGTGACTGTGTTCTGATATGTTCATCATTTTTTACTCCTGTGGTAAAATCCACAGAATAATTTTTTGTGGGATGGATAGCCATATAAATTTGATAAATAAATATACATTAAAAGGATGGGTAGAAAAGGGTTGACCTGCTATGTTGACCAGCGAAGATCAGGGTGAGCAATCTTATATTTCAGATGCAGAGGAGTCAAACTCCTTTTCCTAGCATAGTGTTATGGGAACAATCATTCTCAAATATTCATATGTTGCCCAGCAGCTGTCCCAGTTAAGCAGACAATTGTGGGAAACAAACAATTTATTTTCCAGTTGCAAACAAATGTTTCACCAAACGTGGTGGCCCATTAGCAAACAGGCTGAGTGGAAGATTCTTAATACAATGTAACCTTAGTAAGAATTAGAAAACATACATATAATATACAAATACAATTGCTTTATGGTTCCATGGTAAAATCATGGTATGATAGGAAGTTATAGTTTCTGTTAGTATTCAAGATTCCCCACAAATGCCAAAAACTTACTTTTACACTTACTAAAACTTATTTAATATTCTCCTAATTAGAGTTAGCTTAATGAACACTACATAAGGAACATATGCTTCTATCAGGTAAGCATCCCTATTCTTGGAACAACTTGTAGTAGTAGTAGTAACAACAACAACAACAACAACAACAATTACAGGAGCAGCATCAACTTTCTTAATGGGGTATGATCCACCCATTTAGAAAAAGTGCAGACAATTAGAATGTTTGTATCCCTGACAAATCAATATATTTACACAGTCAATTTGCTATCTTTGGAAAGGCAAAAATAGCAGGGTGTTGCCCCTAGTAATTTTTGTCTGTTAGAACTAATATTAAACTTTATATAAATAATTGTTTTTGCAGCTTGGTGCATTCCTAGAGAACACCAGGCTTTTGAAATTCTTGCTGCTTTTGAATGTGTGGCTATATAAATGGGCCTCTCAGATAAGGAAAGACAGCAAAGAGGTAGGGATCATAGATTAGCAATTGGGAGACCACTAAAGCCCATCACAACCCATCTTGTCAAATGGCGCACACTTGCTTCCATTTAGCAGCCTCTTGTGAAATAAGAGATTAGTAGATTAGTAGAAGTACCATTAACCCATTGAGCTAACTATAAAGGAAGAAGATGAGGGTGGAATTGAGGAAGCATATAAAAAAGCAATATGGGGAATTTAATCAGCCAAAGCATTTGCACTGGAAATTTCATTGCCATAAGAGGAATGTTCAAGACAATAAACAACAGCATTTTCTGAGGATAAAAATATAGTGTCCAAAAGAGCAGAACCCGCTTGCATTTGTAGCTTTGTTGCCATTTAATTATGTTTTACAGATTGCATAACTTATGGCATCAGATCTCATGTATTCAACAAATCAAGACTGAAACCCATTCAAAAACAGGTATAAAATTGTCTCCAAAGCATATGTTTTAATGCAGCAGGAGAGGCAAAGTCTTGGGGAACAATTAAGTGTTGCTTGGATAAGTGTTAGCTTGGTTTGATTTCATCTACTCTTCCCAATTTCTGTTTGAAGCCTATTTCAAATGTAATTATAAAAAAACAAGTGACCGATATTTGTGAACTGAAAAACTGCATTATGATTTTAAGAATTGACTTGGGTAAACTGGAGATCTATGGAAAAACAAAAAATGAAAATTCACTTAGGAGAATATGGAAAGCTACTCCCATGGATGAGTCAAATGGACAGTGAATGATATTGGACACCTACTGTTTCTGGCAAAATCTTTCTATTCTGTCATAGTTTTTACTACTTCTTTGAATTTTCCCCATAGTTCCGCTTCTCTCATTTAGGTTGTTGTCCCTGCCTCTGCCTTACATTCCTGCCAATTTCAGTGAAACGGCTTCTCTGTTTTGCCTCCATACATACATATACAAATTTCATGACTGCTTGACAGAAACTTGATTTCTATGCATGTCACCTAAAATTATACTCTTTTTCCTGTTGCACAGAGGTGGGGATAGCAGAAATGAAGACAACTTGTTGCTTGAATATTAAAGGAATAAGCATTCTTTTTTAAATGAGTTGATGAGTTAAGTATTATCCTTTTTTTCCTTCCATTCAGTTGCACCCAGTTTTCAAAGTCTCTTCAGTTTTCTTCTCAAAGTTATTCAGAATTATTTACCATTGCCTCTTTTCTAAGGCTGAGAGAAAATGACTGGGCCAAGGTCACACAGCTGGCTTTTGCCAAAGACAGGATTAGAATTTATAACCTTTCAGTTTCTATCAAAGGAAGTTTGGTTTTAGGTTCTGTTTTATTTTAAATACTTTTAAATGTATTTATTACATACATACACACATAATCAAATACATACTAAATTTACTAAGTAGAATGTCTTTATGATGGTTCCCTTCATTAAATACTTCACATCAGTGGTGGGTTGCCCCCGGTTTGCACAGGTTCTATAGAACCGGTAGTAAAACCGGCAGGAGGTTCCGCCCATTGACCCCAACGTCATCAAAATGCTTCTGTGCATGTGTGTGGCCCTGTTGCGAACCGGTAGTAAAGGTAAATAGAACCCATCCCTGTTTCACATGTCAATTCACTGAAGGTTCAGCACTTGAGATGTGTTTGTCTTCAATCAGATGAGGAATTCTCTATAAGTTTTAAGTTACAATGTTTATTTTAATTGTTTTTAAGGTTGTGGGGATGCTTTTACTCTTCTAAAAGAATCCCTGATAAATTGAGAAGAAAGTGTTTTTAAAATTCTGTTCCAATTCTGGAACAACTTGCCTCCAGAACTTC